ATGGACGCCGTCGACCCTGACAGCTTCTGCTGTAGGAACTCTTTCAGAGCATTTTGAGAACGCCTTTAGGCGTACGCTTATCGCTTTGGGTCCTTGCGAAGCAAGGTGTTGCACGCCGTCAGGACCAAGCAGGGACATCAGCTTTTCAGGCCCGTTCTGGTATGCCCTGGGGCAAATAAGAGAATAGCTCCATCCTCACTCGTAAGGACTCAAGCGTAGATTGACTACAAGTGCTCCCAAGTATATCAGAACCAGTACGGCTGTAGCGAATCGCAATCCGCTACCTCCAAGAGTACCTAAAACCTTATCCAAGACAAACACACACTCTTTTGTTTCAAATCCAACCTGTATTTTTCTGTTTTGTTGCGGCAGAGCTGTTTATATCTAAGACCTTAGGTTTTCCTAACTAAATAGTAAAACCTATTTGATATGCATTACTAATGGCAGGCCAGCCACGTAGTGGCTTCTTGTTACGGTGTAGCCACACAATCGTGTGATTACCCCAACTTGTGTAATCCACACATTTGTACGGTCACACCATATTGTGTGACCCACCCCTGAATACCAGGGTACGTGCAACCCTGTTACACAGATTGCTTCTCTACCCGTTTTGACGTGACTGCAAGCGCTACCAAGGTTAGCCGATTGCTACGCAGCATCTTGCCCACGGAAACGTGAATAGTTTGACAATGTCCTCATTAACAGCCTCACGATCCGCTTTGGGGGACTTGCGCTGTACTTCGGTAAATTAAAGCCTGAACATATTTCTTTGCTTACGATTTGTCTGCAACCAGAGCTGAGGCGTGGTTCTTGATAAGTTAAGCATGACCGCAATAGTGAAGCTGGTAGTTATGTAACTTTGGCTGGTAAAGGAAGGTTTTGGTCTCCGTGAAAGAGATCCCACACAGGCACGGCCCAGGACTAACAAGACAATTGATGTTAACTTTGCCAGCAGGTTTTGGAAGATCACGTTCATCTTTCTGTCTACGAAGCTGGACTGCTGTATTAGTAAACAATTTCGCTTAAAATCTTGTATATTAACAATCTCTTCCATTTTATTTCGGAAACCTCCGTGTTTCATCCCAGAATCGCTATAGATTTGTAAAAAGAAGCGAGTTGTAAAGCTGAGCACATACGCAACCATCAATAATTGCCCGGCCACCTAAGCGTGTTAAAGAGCGGCCATAATTTATTTCTTTATACCAACTTTCTGGGGTACCCGCACGTTAGATCCAGTGATAACTAACAACGCCGACAGCTTGTCTCTTGAGTCGAACATCGAACAATGTCAATATTGTCTTCCATCAAATGGTGACACAGCGCATAAACAGCACAGTGTGTCCTAGAACTCAAAATGATCTGACCGACTGTCCGCTGGATAGCTTGGTTCCTAGCAACGAAAAGTAAAAATTTTAAAATGTATCGAATCTATCCATAAAACAATGCTCTAGAAAGATCCATAATAATGGGGCACCCAGAAATGCTTCGTCGTCTATGCCCTGTAACTTGAGCGGGAAACGGGACAACATGCACCATCGTACACAGTTGTCATATATAGAACAGTTTGTCCATGTATTACTTATTGTGTTTGTTAGCTGGCAAGCAGAAGAAAACCAATTTGATGAGTAGCCAACCTATGACCTGCTGGCTCCATCCTGTAGGATATACCTGTCTTCGCATACACTTGTACATACAGCCACCAAATATCATAACAAATCTGTTTGAAAAGTTTCTGACCGCCTTGATGAACACTGGAAGGCGCACCATGCGCTTCCAGAAGTATACCATCCTTCAAATCTCGTCGTTTGGGACGACAACACAGAAATCATCTTTTTGTTGCTTTTTACATCGTAAACCCATTCATATGAACAAGGCCGCGATCCCTGGCATTGGCGTAGTCGCTCAGATTGGACGCCTTCGCTTGCGATAACGAACCTCATCAAATTAAATATTAGGCAGTTTTCATGTAAGCCTCCATCATGCTGTAGTGATGCTCACGAGCTTATGGTACGGTCCGTGCGATGATGCGTCGGCAAACACATTTTCGGGCTTGTATCCATCGAAAATATTCTTATTTGCAAGAAAGTATTACTCAAGTGACGTGGGGCGTACAAGCCCAACCTCTGTGAAATGTGTATAAAAATATCTGAGTCAACTACTGCCATATTTTTGCGAAAAAACTGCCTGGACTGACTGCTTGAGCTTTTCACCAGTAGAGATCGCGCCCGTGTGGCAGCTCAGGAATTGTCATTATAGTTACCTTGCTCAATTCCACTCACCATGCTATTGCCAACAAATTACAGGTTAGTAAACTGCATTGGGGTGGCCGTGCATCTTGCAAACAGGAAGTCATTGGAATCTTGAGTTTGAAAAACTGCAATTTAAGCAGAGCAAAGTACATGATCCATTTAAACTTTTGCAGACATCGTCTCACGTTTTGCTTTTGATCAACAAACAATGCATCCGATCTCTGTATGGTCGAACTAATTTGGTAGCAAACACGAGGGTAGGTCGCAGAAGCTCTTTTTGTAATTACTCGAGCGGCATATTGCTTGCAAGCGCTATTTCGCAATCTGAACGAGATCTAGATTGCGTAATTGAGGATTCTATCAATGTGTGACACATTTGACAGCCCAGTTTTTATCATTGAGAGGTTGTATATGTGCTGCCGCAGCCAGCGATAATTCTAAAGAAAAGATTAAAAGCCAAACTTAATTGGGTAACGCTTCTTCTCGCGCGCTGCAGTGGGGCTGCCGCAGCTTAGCGCTTGAGGAAACGTAATTTAGGTCACCGACCTCTCGTTCTATACTTAGAACAAGTACGAGTTAGCGGATCGCAATCCGCTTACTCCAAGAG